TAAGCTTAATCAGTCTTAGAAACCTTATTAGGATAATATTCTTCAGGGCTATAGACTCTGACCCTCTTAATGGAGAGCTGGACCAGCCAACCCTGTTACAGGTTTATTAAACTTTTCTGGCTTGTCTTGTAGAATCTGTCCAAAATATGTTGGATCACATGCTCCTTCCTAACAAAAGGTCTGTTAAATCGAGAGGGATAAATTTGTCACATGAGAGTAATTGCTGTTGATTTTCTTATGGTTTATTTCTATTCTATTCATTTAGCTTTGTTCTTTTTCACTAGGTTTGTATTGTCAAATTTTGGGCCTCAGAGGAAGATTTTCAAAATTCACCACATATTTGTGTTTTAATGCTGAGTCCAGATTTCTTTATTGCACTATGCGTAGGAGCTAATGTTTCGTTGAGTTAGGGAGCCGGATAGATAACAACTGGATGAAGGTGCATAATATCTCTGAAGAAGACTTTTGTGGAGACAGACAGAGAAGACTAAACAATAGTTCGGCCAGATGAGCCATGGTTTAGATATATTTGTCTGATATTGCTGCTCAACTTGAAGACTAAAGGTATGTGGCCACTGTGACTTGCTGATTTTAATACATCTTTTTACAAAGACAGCCCAGATTTTATGATGGCAATACAACTTGTTTGCATTAAAACTTTGCGCATCAACCTGGTCTCCCTGATGCATCCAGTACAAAGGTTATTTTTAATTAACATGATGAAAGGAGAGAGACGTACTGTTGATCTAAGGGGATGCCAATATAAAACAACATTGTCTGACACTCACCAGGGTTGAGAATCCCCACACCGAAGGTGAATCTCACCAGCTCTTTTCTTGTTTCCTAACAGTGGGGCTACTGTTGCAGCACAGTAGTGTATGCCTACACAAAGCCAGAGCGACAGGAGTACTGCGTGGTGTTCTGGGAAACCAAAAACAATGAGAAGTTTGTTAAATATGTCAAGAGCCTTATGTCCATCACAACTTCAGGGGACTTCTGTATCCTGGCCAGCAAGGCAGATGACACCCAGCCTCAGGTACAAACACAAACATCACAGTTCAAAAACAGGATCTGTAATAATCTATAAAAGATTACAGGCTAACTTGATATTCTTACTCTTCTTGGTAGACCAAAGATAAATACTATAGGGACGATATATACAGTAGATGTAGAGTGAGCTAAGGATGTTTCTCTGTTGTCTTGCCCCCTGTTTTTGCGATTGCAACACAGGAGGATGCTGAGTTAGAGTCTGGGACTCATGCAAGGGTAATGTACACATTAAAACCACATTCCCAAAATGAGGAGTAATTGTTTTGATATAGAATCATATATTGAGCTGTAAAATAATGTGGCTCTGCTATGTGTTTTCCAGTATGTCCTGATTCTGTGCAACTCCATTGGGACTCCATTGGACTCAAAATACATCGACATTGGTGAGCACATTCAGTACATTTAGATTACACTCCCTTGTAGTCAACACATTTTTAAAAGATATGATCTACCTAACAAGTTGTTGGTCCTCCAACTTTGCACGCAGTGAATTTGAACTCTATAACAAACTTCTTCTGGAAAAACAGTGGGTTGATAAAAGTCCTGATTTACTGTAAAGCTGGCTAAACTGAAGCTGGCTCTTCTAGACAATGTGAGAGATCACACCCTGTGTATAGATACTGTAGATGTGAAATGGTGGTTGGCACTCTGCCTGCTGCTGCCCACAGGGACATCTTTCATCTATCATAGGCCCACAGCATCCTATAGCAAATAGACAGTGAGCACAGGGCGTCTTTATACCTCACAAATATTCAGAATTCCATTTCTGCTACAGAAATGGACAAATGTTTGCTGAGGAGCTCACACCAGGATAGTTCAAAGTCTCAGTGGTCTGAATGGGTTTGAGGTATCCCACCGTGGTAAATAATCAGAGAATGTGTTCAAATGTATGTCTTTTGGTCGATTCTCCTCTTGTGCCCTCTGGATTATTTTTTCATCAGTGAAAACACAGTTTTATCTCCTCAGAACTTGTTGGTATGTTGGAATTTAGCCACAAAGAAAATGTGCAAATATGTTAAGTATATTCACTGGTCAAATAAAATTTTAATTTAAACAACAAATTCTGCATGTGAATGTACAGATTCAGAATCTGTCTGTGAGGGACAAGATTTTGGGGCTGAAAGCCTTCTGGTTTCTGTTTTAGTTTGACCAATCACATTCTAGCAGGCTTTGATTTCCCATGGATAAACAGTCTGTGTGGGGGGCAAAAGAGGCAGGACTTATTCACAAAACGGTTAAGTTATCAGCTTTTTAACTTATCTGCATTGATATGCTGATAGCTGTTAATAGAGATTCACATCATCTGGACCTAAAAGACCTACAAAAAGTAACAGCAATTAGGCCATAGGCAGAAACTACTTGGACTGTTAGCAGTGTAGGTCGAAGACAGTGTAGAGTCTTGGACTGGATATCTGCTGTCTACACTGGAAGCCAAATTGTTGGTTGTTGCCCCCAGAGCCTAATTAATTGTATGAGGATAGCTAATAAGCACCAAGATTGAATATAATATAAATGACTTGTAGTTACTGTTAGTGTTTATGTACTGCAGCTCAACAACAACAAACAAAATACACAAAGTCTCTTGAATGATGAAGTTCCAAGTACAGTCCTCTGTATTTGAACCCTGAGGTCAAAAGTGAAGCACAAACAAACACAAGATCCCCCAAATGACAAAAGACAATAGTTAATAAAGATACATTTTCTCCCAAATTACACAAGGGAATATTCCCTCACAGGTATTCATTCATTTGATGTGTTTTGTACTTAAGTCTGTTTCTTGTTTATTTATTTAGAACCATTGTTTGTCACCATGACGAAGACACATGTGATTGCTGCATCCAAAGAGGCTTTCTACATGTGGCAGTACAGAGTGGCAAAGAAACTAACTGCCCTGGAGATCAACCAAGTGACCAGAACTAAGAAGGAAGGAAGAGAGAGGTGAGAGAATTTGGCACATGGGTGCATTTCCACCACAGGATGCTTTGCAGGAACTCAACATATTTTCATCACAGGGACCAGGGACTAAATAAAGTTCTGGGGAAAATCTTTTTATCCTTAAACAAGTCATTCCATTCAATCCAAATGAAAAAAACAGTTTCTAAGGTACAGGTGGGTGGGGACAGAACATATATCAAGCAGATTATGAAAAGTTGCAGGGAAGCCTGATAACCACAAGACTAGATTTTGTGAGGCAGTCAGGGAAACGTTGAGAATACTGGCTCACTGTAACAGTGTGGAGTTTTGGTACTGACAGCACTGTGAAAAGGATCCATTCATCTGAATAAAATACCACTGAGGTCCCAGACAGGCTGGTTATGAGCTAATGTTCTGCCAGGACTATCCTCGCCTTGAAACCACAATACACCTCAGTAGAACGGGTAACTGTTTGTCTGCCTGGCTCTCTCTCATGTGTTTACACTTCCTGCCTCTTTAGGGTCTATCACATTGACAGTTCTCCATCTGGAGCCAATGACAGCAGTCCAGATTTTGCAAAAGCCTTCACAGTAAGTGACAAAATATTTCCAAGGCATTTTTTCATACACATTATGGTAATTTCAGTAATGTGAAAGAAATCAGTTTTACTGAAACAGTCTGAAGCATT